ACACACACACACACACACAGACAACCTCTTAACAATATGCGTTTTTGCTGTGCAGCTCAGAAGTTCTCTTTTTGTGCGTTTTTCCGCTACAGCGCTGCTACAGTAAAAATGCATAAAAAGAGAACTACTGAATTCCATTTCAAGTTTAAGTCACTTTCCTGCCAGCGCCCTGGAGCGCTTTCTCCGCAGGTGCCTGGAGCTTGGTCTTGATGCCGCGAATCATACACGGGAACAATTGAAACAGTTCCATTTATTACACTAAATATTTCATAAAATGCGAACCTCCCAAATCTCAGAGAATCCGGGGCGAACAGCGTCATATCTTTCGCCCTTTTTGACCGAGTAGTCAGCATCAGTCTGTATCTGGCCTCTGAACAAACCGTCGGACCGAAGAAGATCGCAATCCTTCGGCTTTGTTGTCAAAAGAAGGGTATTTGACTTGTGATATTCATCACAATTCATTTTTTTCCCAATTTTCCAGCCTGAAGGGCGTTTGGAGAGTCATACAGTACCACATCAGGATTTTTGTGCCAAAAAGGTGAGCTGTTACCGCTCACCTTTTTTGGCACAGAAATCCTGATGTGGTACTGTATGACTCTCCAAACGCCCTTCAGGCTGGAAAATTGGGAAAAAATGAATCGTGGTGAATATCACAAGTCAAAATACTCTTCCTTTGATCTCTACGATATGTGGAGACACTCGGAATTATTTCCAGGTTAGCAAGTGCCACAGCTTCCACTCGCTCTGGCAAAACTGCCGATCGTTCCCTCTTTCAAGAGTTATTTAAAAGTAAACTGACGGCGCAGGAGCAATTGCTTCCAAAAATAATTTTAGAATTAAGCTGATAGTTGGTAGTAAAAAGATATCAAGGCTTAACCTTCCAAATATCAGATGTGTCCGGTCTCACAATATCACACCGCTCTCCAGTTTTTGCTCCGTAAGCAGCACTTTTCTCTGTTTCGGCAACGAATGCCCCATCGCCATGCAAGATGTCCGAATCTGTTGGCTTTTTCACATCGTACCTATCGCCTCGAACAGTGGTGAATTCCAGATGAGTAACACTTTCCCCTTGCAGCTTACCTTCAGGCTAAAATTTGAATTTGGAAGAAAGGCATTACATATTATTGGGGTTACTCAGAATTACAACGCGAAATTCCCGATGTTGCTGAGATACGGCTGCACACTGATTGTAGCTGTGCATTCCGAAATTACTCACCACCAATTCTTTATATCCCTTGTTCTCCGCACCTTTCCTAAATATTATAAGAAATTTATAATTATATGCCTTTAAGTTTTTTTTGCGACAGAACTGCTTCAAAAACGTATGCAATATGTCTTTTATGGTACCAGATAGAAGTGAACTCGCTGCATGTTCTTTGCTTTGTTGATACTAAGGATCCGCTTACGAGAAGACTGCATACATAAATGGTGGGATGTGCGGCGTGTTGAGAAAGTTCATTAGTGTAGCACTGGTACTCTTAGTTATATTTCGTTGCCGAGAACTTACCAGTTTTGAATAGTAGATACGTGAATGCGTTTGTGTTCAGCAGGCTTCATATCAATGCTCGTGCCGAGCAATCTTCGTGGAATACAAATTTCTTAAGAATTCCCGCTGGAAGGCAACAAATCTTTGAAGCCAACAAATGCTTCTTGAGCATACCTTCCAAATGTCTGAAGCGCCTGGTTTCACAGCATCGTACCGTTCCGCTTTTTTTGCCGTATAATCACTTCTAGACTGGGTTTCCGATGCAACTGCACCTTCACCCCGCAGCAAATTCGAGTCTTTCGGCTTTTTGGATGGCCAACGTTCACCTTCTTTACCACTAAAGTCCAGATGCGATACGGTGACATTTTCTATCGTCCCGTCTTGCTACAAAAAATTTCTATTATTCCCTATATTATACCAGGAGAAACTAATCAGATATTCTGTTTCCTAACACAATCCCAGGCCGCAGCGCACCCGGTTTGCCGGTGTAGTCATGCGTATTCGCGCTAAACTTGAAGCAACCAATTTGCTAGCTGTATGAGTAGTTGTTGCTTTATATTTAACCTGGGTATTCATCATCATAAACCATTGTAAATCACGCATAAACAAAATGAATGATTTCCATTGAGCGGCTGTTCATTGAAAATGACTTAGCTGTTCTAGTGTCCTCGGGCTAGCAATTTTTCTGCCAAAAATTTTGCATGTCCGTATGCGAGAAACACGCTTGCCTGGGAACTGAATTTGAAATCTTTAAGTTTTACGCGGACAGGGAAAACTAAAAACTTCAGCTTTCCAGCTTTTTTCGTCTCAGGGATTTTCCGGCCAAAACTTTCGCTCACTCGTATACGAGTTCAGACATGCAAGAAAGTTCGCACCGTTTTCACAGGGCAGCGCTAAGCCAGATAACTTACTGGCAAAATTTCAGCGTCAATGCCGAGTCGAAATATTTGCTTCAATGCTGAGTCGAAATACTCAGATAGATTTACATATATATATATTTCCGTTTGCTCGTGAGTATATATATATATATACTCACGAGCAAACGCAAATACGCACACCGCGTTTTTACATTCACATATGTAACCCAAGCTGGAATGCACCGGGCGGGCCCGTGCGATCGTGCGTTTTTGCGCCGGACTTGAATTACTCAGGTCATTAACTGTACGAATGGCTATTGTTTTACACCTACCTGTTGCGGTCATTAGCATAAATCACCAAAAATTTTGCAAAGTAAATGTACAATTTCCATTTAACCGTCGTTCTTTAAATATAACCTAGTTGTTCAGTGAGAAATTTTTTTGTCAAGACTTTAAGTGCCCGTACGTAAGAACCACGCATACCTCAAGGATGAACTTGAAATGCTTAAGTTGTACTTGGACAAGGAACACTCCCTCAAAATTTCAGCTTTGCAACTTTTCTGATTACCGAGTTAGTAGTTTTCCCGCTAAAACCTTCACATACCTGTACCTGGGTGCTCCGCAAGCTTGGAAAGCTGAATTTGAAATTTTTAAATTGCATGTGGCAGGGAACATCCACCTAAAATTTTAGCCTTCCAGTTCTTCTGATTGCGAAGTTAGTAATTTCCCTGCAGAAACTTTCATACGCCCTTACGTGAGTACAGTGCATAGCTTGGGGCTGAATTTGAAATATTTGAATTGTACTTGGATAGGGAACATTTTCCCAAAATTTCAGCTTTCTCCTGGTACCCGAGTTAGCAATTACCCTCCTAAAACTTCCATACACCCCTATGTGAGTATCACGCATACCTAGGGGCTGAATTTGAAATCTTCAGCTAGAACATGCACAGGGAATATCCCTACGAAGTTTCAGCCCCTTAGCTCTGTGGTTCCCGTGATCGCTTCCCCAGTAAAAAATTTGCATATTTTTTTAAGGCTTCCATACGCGGCACCCAGGAGTCCACGGGGGACGAAATTAAAACGGGAGGGTCGCGCATTGTATAGGCACACATCTCCAAAGTTTCAGCCTTCTAGCTTTTCTGGTTCTCGAGTTGAAAGTGGATGACAAAAAGTGCGAACA